AATGTTCTTTGCGACAAAGTTCGTGCTGGGTAATGCTTTGCAGCCTGCATATTTCAGCAACGAAATCAGAATAAGAGGGATATCCTAATGCAACATGAAGGCGCTGTTTGCCACATATATCTCCCTGGAGACGTCTAATGCATGATCTAGTAGGTCAGCTCAGCCTGGGCCAGCGTTGTACCATGTTGTGCACTCAACATGGGGCTGAAACTGAACATGTTATGTATTATGCGAAGACCTCCATGCCTTGCACACAGGCCCAAGGCGCAAGTTCACAGATGACCTAGTGCGTCAACTCATCACAAGTCATCAACGCGGGGCTCAACAGCATACAACGCGTACGACGACTTCTGAATGGAAACGGAGTTCGTCTCCATTTGACAGCTGGCAAAATCTCTGCACACTTCCGTCATCACTGTCCGGTGAGTGCTGAAGACGTTGCTGGGCTGATATCCATACCGGCCTCGCATATAGTCCCGTCAAATGAGCGAAAACGACAAGGTAGGAGTTCGACTGACGGCTGCTCCATCAGCTTCGTGAGTTGGAAAATCAGGTGATATGGAGCGATGAAAAATGATTTGTGTTAAACCAGGCGCGAACTGAGCAAAATCAACGCTACTGGGCTGCTCGTCACCCGGAGGTGATGGTGGAGAGCGAGCTACAGTGAGGTCCGTAGGCGACGTGCTTGCTGGGAGGAGACTATCCATGGGAGGATCATCATCTACTGGTTTGGCCAGGCCCTCTCAGTAAAGGATGATGCCTACGTGAAAATGATGCGGCAGGTGACGATGAGTATGCACCAGTTGGGCATGCTCACCGCACGCTTTTCCGTAAAGCCATAATCAGACAAGGCCAATGAAACCAGTGATAAAAATATACATTGGTGACTCGAGCCCATAAATATTAGCCCACATCCAATGGGGGAAGGTCTCCTAACCCCTCAGGATTTTCGAGGATGGACCAGAACGAATGGTGGAGATTCGTAAATCTTTTTGTATCTGTTCAGACATTTTTTGCACGCGCTGTGAATAAATGAGCCCAGTTCACCTCAGGTCGTCGACCCGCGATTGATCAAAAGGCGTCGATGTTCCAAACTATTTGGAGCGCCGTGGTCCGTTGTCATTGCTCATTGTTCGGTTTAACCCTAATCCCCGTTGGAAGTTTATCAGGTACCATATTTATTGCATGGGCCCAAGCTAATGACCTGAGATCAGCTTTTTGCCGACTAGTTTCATTTTTGGGCAAAATTGTGTCACTGATGGGATTTTGTCGCTTGCAAAATTTTATAACATCTCAAAAATCATCATCAGTTGTCACATTTTCATCAATCACCAGCCGCTATATTATTGCAGAGGCCATGTCACTGACCTGAGGTCAGCTCTTTTTCTGCTATTTTCATTTTTTCGGCAAAATAGTGCCACTAATGGATCTTGTCAGTTGTCAAATGCTATAAACAACCTTAAAAATGTTGTGGGACCTTAAGTATCCCAAAGATCCATGGATAAGGCCAAACATGACCTTTACCTTTCTTATCACTCTTACAACCAGGAAGCTTTTGTTTTTTACAGACTTGTAAGTACTTCTTCCCTAGCAAGGCAAATGCGTGCGTGCTAAGGCCAGGAGAAAGCTCTAGCGAGCGCCCTACCCCGCCTCCCCCCTCCCCCCGCCCCCGCTCTCGCCCGAGCGAGTAGGTTACTACCGGCCAGTCGGGCGTAGGCTGCAGTGCCAATATATTCTCCATGTGAATAGCTGGTGCTGCTCACTGAACCATACCCGTTCAATGCTCAACGCAAACAAATGAAAAAAAGAATCCATTTTGAAGCATTCGGTTCAACAGCAAAATGTTTTAAGATCTGAAACAGGCCAGCTGTCCGAGAGCGTCTGATCTCCTGACGCTGACGTCCTGACTGACGGTGTCTGATCTCCTGACGCTGACGTCCTGACCGACGGTGTCTGATCTGCTGATGCTGACGTCCTGACCAACAGTGTCTGATCTGCTGACGCTGACGTCCTGACCGACGGTTGTCTGATCTGCTGACATCTGACGTCCTGACCGACGGTGTCTGATCTGCTGACGCTGACGTCCTGACCGACGGTTGTCTGATCTGCTTGACGCCGACCTCCTGACCGACGGTGTCTGATCTGCTGACACTGACGTCCTGACCGACGGTGTCTGATCTGCTGACGCTGACGTCCTGACCGACGGTGTCTGATCTGCTGACGCCGACCTCCTGACCGATGGTGTCTGATCTGCTGACGTTGACGTCCTGACCGACGGTGTCTGATCTGCTGACGCTGACGTCCTGACCGACGGTGTCTGATCTGCTGACACTGACTTCCTGACCGATGGTGTCTGATCTGCTGACGTTGACGTCCTGACCGACGGTGTCTGATCTGCTGACACTGACGTCCTGACCGACGGTGTCTGATCTCCTGACGCTGACGCCCTGACCGACGGTGTCTGATCTGCTGACACTGACGTCCTGACCGACGGTGTCTGATCTCCTGACGCTGACGTCCTGACCGACGGTGTCTGATCTGCTGATGCTGACGTCCTGACCAACGGCGTCTGATCTGCTGACGCTGACGTCCTGACCGACGGTGTGTCTGATCTGCTGTGCGACGTCCTGACCAACGGTGTCTGATCTGCTGACGCTGACGTCCTGACCGACGGTGTCTGATCTGCTGACACTGACGTCCTGACCGACGGTGTCTGATCTGCTGACGCTGACGTCCTGACCGACGGTGTCTGATCTGCTGACACTGACGTCCTGACCGACGGTGTCTGATCTCCTGGCGCTAACGTCCCGACCGACGGTGTCTGATCTCCTGGCGCTGGCGTCCTGACCGATGGTGTCTGATCTCCTGACGCTGACGTCCTGACCGACGGTGTCTGATCTCCTGCCGCTGACGTCCTGACCGACGGTGCCTGATCTCCCGTCGCTGACGTCCTGACCGACGGTGTTTGATTTGCTGACGGGCACTGGCCGCGGGCGACTGGCCTTTGACGATCGCGACTGACCTTTCACAGTCGTGGGTGACGACTTGCAAGTGCTATGATAGGC